AATACAAGTGTATCATCTGCAGGCTTTATGTCAGTGTTTGTTGACCACAGTATTTTGAAGCTCCCTTTGTGTTGTAAGATGCATCAGTACTTTCTTTATTGCAAAAAATATTCAATTGTGTTGATGTACCACCTCTTACTTGTGATAGACATTGGGTTGTTTTTACATTTTAGCTATCATAAATACTGCTGCTATAAATATTCATGTATACACCTTTTATGTGTGAACCTGTTGCCATTTTTCTTGAAGATCTACCCACTTAGGAGAGAAACTGCTAGAGTATATGGCAACTCTATATTTAAGTTTCTGCAGCATTACTAGACTCATCTCCAAAGTGGTTGTATAATTTTTATTATAAATTTTCAATTACATTTGTGTGTGTGCATGCCATAGTACACAGGGAGGTCAGAGGACAATTTGAGGGAAGTTTCTTCTCAAAATCCCATATGGGTCTAGGGATTGCATTCAGGTTGTCAGGCTTAGTACCAAGCACTTTTATCTGCTGAGACATCTCATTTGCCCCTATTTTACACTTCTCAGAGCAGTGGATGAAGGTTCCAATTTCTCCATATCTTCAGCAACACTTTTTATCTGTTTTGATTACTGTTATTCTGGAGTGGTTGAAGTGGTTCTTAGAGTTATTTAGGTCCACATTTCTCTACTGATTGATGATGAACAGCATCTGTTCACATACTTAGTGTTTATTTATACATATTATTTAAAAAAATCAATTCAAATCCTCTAGCCACTTTTAAATTTTTTTGAGCTTTTATTTATGTGTTGAGTGTCTTTGCCTGCATTTATGTCTGTGTACTATATGTATACTGTGTCCATAGGGTCCAGAGGAAGGTGTCAGATTGGCTGAAACTAAAGTTAGAGATGGTTGTTAGCTACCATATGGGTGCTAAGAATTGAATTCAGGTCCTCAGGAAGAGCAACAAGTGCTATTAAATACTGATTCATCTTTCCAGTCAACTCCAGCCATTTTAAAGGAGGCTATTAGTTTTTTCTTTTCTCTTTCTCATTTGTTTTGAGATAGGGTCTTCATATAGCCTCAAACATGAGACCCCCATATTTTTATCTTCCAACTACTAGGTTTAGAAGCATGTACTACCCCACCACATCTGACTTTATTATGTTGTTATTTTTCTAAATAACAAGTTGTGGTAATTCTTTATACTAGATACAAATTGTTTATATATGATTTACAAATACTTTATTTTATATCTATAGGTTGCTTTTACACACACACGACAGAAATACATACATGCGTAATACATATATACATACATACATACATACATATGAGAGAGAGAGCAAGCAGCATTTTAATGGGGTTTCATGGGTTAGCAGCGAATTTGCTAATATTTGAGGATGACCCTCAACTCTGGATCCTCCTACATACACTTCCCAAGTGCAAGGATCACAAATGGACATCATATTGTACATAGATTATCTTTTACTTTCTTGAATGGGTCCTTGGAAACATAAATGTTAATTTTGGTAAATACCAATTAATACTTTTTCTTTAGCTGTTTATGCTTTTGGTATTATATCCAAGAGAACTTTCCCTCCTATTTTATTTTTCTTCCTTCCTTCTCTTCTCTTTTTCTTTTTTTTGAGAAAAGATCCTCATATATCCTAATAATCATATTGAACTCACTGTACAGTTGAGCCTAGCCTTGAACTCCCAATCCTCTTGTCTCCATCTCGCAAGTGTGGGGATTACAGTTGTGCTCTACCACCTACACCCTCTATGTTCCCTCTCAGCCTTGTCTCTCTTTCCCTCTTCCCCCTTTCTTTCTCAGACAGGGCCTTGCTATGTATTCCAGGTAGCCTCTAATTCATAATCCTTCTACCTCTGCCTCCTATTTTCTTGCTGCCTTATGTCTAAATTTTTAGGTTAAAAACTGGGTATTCCAGACCCAAAAAGATGAACATGGGATGTACTCACTCATAATTGGTTTCTAGCCATAAATAAAGGTCAGTGAGTCTATAATTTGATATCCTAAAGAAGCTAAATAAGAAGGTGAACCCAAAGAAAAACATATAGCTATCCTCCTGGGTAGGGGAAGTAGACAAGATTGCCAGGCAAAAAATCGGGATCTTAAGGGTGGGTGGGAGGGGGGTAAGGGGAGATGGGGAGAGAAAAGTGAGAAGGGTAGGATGGGGAGAACTTGGGGCAATGGGATGATTGGGATAAAGAAAGGTTGGATAGGGGAGCAGGGAAGCACATATCTTAATTAAGGGAGCCATCTTAGGGTTGGGAAGAGACTTGGACATAGAGGGGCTTCCAGGTGCCCAACGCGAGGTCCCCAGTTAGTTCCTGGGGCAGCTGAAGATAGGGAACCTGAAATGATCCTATCCTATAGCCATACTGATGAATATTTTGCATATCACCATAGAACCTTCATCTGGCGATGGATGGAGATAAAGACAGGGACCCACACTGGAGCACTGGACTGAGCTCCCAAAGTCCCAATGAGGAACAGAAGGAGGGAGAACATGAGCAAGGAAGTCAGGACCAAGAGGGGTGCACCCACCCACGGAGACAGTGGGGCTGATCTACTGGGAGCTCACCAAGGCCAGCTGGACTGTGACTGAAAAAGCAGGGGATAAAACCGGACTCTCTGAATATGGCGGACAATGAGGGCTGCTGAGAAGCCAAGGACAATGGCACTGGGTTTTGATCCTACTACATGTTCTGGCTTTGTGGGAGCCTAGCCAGTTTGGATGTTCACCTTCCTAGACCAGGACGGAGGCGGGAGGACTTTGGACTTTCCACAGGGCAGGGAACTCTGACTGCTCTTCAGACTTGAGAGGGAGGGGGAGAGGAGTAGGGGGAGGGGGAGAAGAGTGGGGGGACGGGGAGAGGAGTGGGGGGAGGGGGGGGAGGAGTGGGAGGTTGGGAGGAGGCGGAAATTTTTTTTTCTCAATAAAAAAACTGGGTATTGTTATAGAGTGTGTTTATAGATCCTGATACCCTCCTCTCTGGGGATTGTTTTTGTTTATTTAGGGATTTGACTAAACTATTTCAGTAAAATCTATTTCCCCATGGCATGTAGCATCTGGTAATCCTCAGAAGATACAGCCTTGGCAACATGCATTGTCACACTTAGAAGACAATGTTGCTACTGGGAAGAGGAGCTAGTTAACTATCTTTTTCAAAGATCTGGTAAACATCTTGCTCTGTTGGTATAAAGCTAATCCCCCACCGACTTCAACTGACCATTCTATTGTTTTGTAGAATCCCCAAACATAAACTGCTCCATTGTTTTAAACAATTAAACTCAGGCCCTTTCTGGTACAATCTTTAAGTCAAGTCTATGATACTTGTTCTAACACCTAGAAGCACTCCTTAGTGTTCTTTGGATTTGTTAAAGTTCTAGCTAATCTGTCTTTTAGTTTCTTGCTGTTACTGAACAATTAATTTCATCTTAATTATTTAGACATGTTTTTCAGAAGACTTACTTTGATGTGTGTGGGTTTTGCCAGCATGGGTGCACAATATGCATGTAGTGCCTGTGGAGGCCAGGAGAAGGCATCGAATCTCCTCGAATTGGAGTTACAGATGGGTGTGAGCCATCACGTAGGTGCTAAGAATTGAGTCAGATCCTCTGGAAGAAGGGAGCTCAGACTGGACAGCTCTCCTCTCGACAGCTCTCCTCTCGGGAGCAGACGTCTCAGAGAGATGCCATGCTCCGCTCTCCCAGGCAGACGCGATTGATGAAGCTCCGACCCAGGATGGACGTAGGCTAGAATCTTCCCGGTAAGACCGGTGCTCACAGATTATTAGAGATGGGTTGATCGGGATATCAGAATTAGCCAGTAAGGGCTAGAGCTAAAGGGCCAAGCAGTGTTTAAATGAATACAATTTATGTGTTGTTATTTTGGGGCATAAGCTAGCCAGGCTGCTGGGGTGCTGGGGACGCAGCCCCGCCGCTCCTATTACTACAGTTGGGGGTGTCTATGACTCTTTTGCCTGCTCTGGGACCTATTTCCTCCTACTGGGTTGCCTCATCAAGTCTTGATATGACTTATGCCTTATTTCATCTTGTTATGCTGAGTTCAGTTGATATCTATTAAACTTCTAATAAGTATAATGCTTTTTAGGTATATTTATGCTTTTGTATGGGTTCATTCTTATATGTTGAACAATATTACCTTTCATGGACATACTATAATTTGTTTACTCATTTACCTATTTACGGACATTTAGATTATTTGAGGTTTAGGAGATTATGAACAGAATAAAAATTTCCTATTAGCCTAAAGGAAAAACGTATTTCTGAAGTGTCTAACACAACATTTTATGCAGGAAAATATTATAGATGATGACTTAATATGAACCTACTTCATATGGTATTTTAAAAGGAAAACACTTTTGTGTAATAGATTCTAAATCAATATACCAACAATAAACACATAAATAAGTTTTATATACAGCCAAGTGGCCTATAACATCACTCAGTAATCATGCTTTCTTCTTAATATTTCAATTAAAATAAGTCCATAAGTGTCTGGGGATATAGACAGATCAGTTGGAAGAATCCTTGCCTAAGGCTCAAATCCTAGCACCACATAAAACTGGTCATAGTAGCTCAAACACACTCAGGCAGCAGAGGCAGAAGAATCATAAGTTTAAGATCACCTTCATGTAGTGAGTTCAGGACCAGCCTGGACTAGAGATGCTCTGATTAAATATATTAAATTAAAATATATAATATATTTATATATAAAATATATAATAAAATGACTACAATTTAGTCTTAGATTGCCAAGTACACACCATAGAATATGGAATTTGAAAAAAATGAAAGCACCACATCTGGACCCTCTTCATCTCTAACACATTGGTAAGAGGGCAAGCAGGGGAATGTGGATCTTAGTAAAGAAATTGAAAGTGCTTTTGTAAGGAGCCCATTATAAGAGGAAATGGGTTATTCAGTATATTAAAAATAAAAACCATTCTTTAAGTTCATTCTAAAATAAATACTTACAGCAGTTTTATATGCAGCTTCAATGTAAAACACAAGGTTCTGTATAAAATTGACTTCATCTAGGCTGTGGATGATATGCAATCCTAAGGAAAAAAGATAAAGAGTTGGCCAGTTATCACTTCAGGGCCTCAGAAGTGGAGGTGAATTAGTGGACTCAGCTTAAATCAACTTCACTTCAATTGACTTGTTCCTACCTGTCCAGCATAACTGGCTTATATTGTTCTTCCCCATATGTTTACAAACATTTTTACTGAGATAGTCTATCGTACAGCTCATTGATACCAAGTATATAGTATAATAGTCTTTTATTGTGTGTACAGTATATATCTATCACTACAATCAAATTTGGGATATGTTCATCACCAAAAAAGTAATTATTTACTCACTAGACATTCATATAAATACAAGTGTATCATCTGCAGGCTTTATGTCAGTGTTTGTTGACCACAGTATTTTGAAGCTCCCTTTGTGTTGTAAGATGCATCAGTACTTTCTTTATTGCAAAAAATATTCAATTGTGTTGATGTACCACCTCTTACTTGTGATAGACATTGGGTTGTTTTTACATTTTAGCTATCATAAATACTGCTGCTATAAATATTCATGTATACACCTTTTATGTGTGAACCTGTTGCCATTTTTCTTGAAGATCTACCCACTTAGGAGAGAAACTGCTAGAGTATATGGCAACTCTATATTTAAGTTTCTGCAGCATTACTAGACTCATCTCCAAAGTGGTTGTATAATTTTTATTATAAATTTTCAATTACATTTGTGTGTGTGCATGCCATAGTACACAGGGAGGTCAGAGGACAATTTGAGGGAAGTTTCTTCTCAAAATCCCATATGGGTCTAGGGATTGCATTCAGGTTGTCAGGCTTAGTACCAAGCACTTTTATCTGCTGAGACATCTCATTTGCCCCTATTTTACACTTCTCAGAGCAGTGGATGAAGGTTCCAATTTCTCCATATCTTCAGCAACACTTTTTATCTGTTTTGATTACTGTTATTCTGGAGTGGTTGAAGTGGTTCTTAGAGTTATTTAGGTCCACATTTCTCTACTGATTGATGATGAACAGCATCTGTTCACATACTTAGTGTTTATTTATACATATTATTTAAAAAAATCAATTCAAATCCTCTAGCCACTTTTAAATTTTTTTGAGCTTTTATTTATGTGTTGAGTGTCTTTGCCTGCATTTATGTCTGTGTACTATATGTATACTGTGTCCATAGGGTCCAGAGGAAGGTGTCAGATTGGCTGAAACTAAAGTTAGAGATGGTTGTTAGCTACCATATGGGTGCTAAGAATTGAATTCAGGTCCTCAGGAAGAGCAACAAGTGCTATTAAATACTGATTCATCTTTCCAGTCAACTCCAGCCATTTTAAAGGAGGCTATTAGTTTTTTCTTTTCTCTTTCTCATTTGTTTTGAGATAGGGTCTTCATATAGCCTCAAACATGAGACCCCCATATTTTTATCTTCCAACTACTAGGTTTAGAAGCATGTACTACCCCACCACATCTGACTTTATTATGTTGTTATTTTTCTAAATAACAAGTTGTGGTAATTCTTTATACTAGATACAAATTGTTTATATATGATTTACAAATACTTTATTTTATATCTATAGGTTGCTTTTACACACACACGACAGAAATACATACATGCGTAATACATATATACATACATACATACATACATATGAGAGAGAGAGCAAGCAGCATTTTAATGGGGTTTCATGGGTTAGCAGCGAATTTGCTAATATTTGAGGATGACCCTCAACTCTGGATCCTCCTACATACACTTCCCAAGTGCAAGGATCACAAATGGACATCATATTGTACATAGATTATCTTTTACTTTCTTGAATGGGTCCTTGGAAACATAAATGTTAATTTTGGTAAATACCAATTAATACTTTTTCTTTAGCTGTTTATGCTTTTGGTATTATATCCAAGAGAACTTTCCCTCCTATTTTATTTTTCTTCCTTCCTTCTCTTCTCTTTTTCTTTTTTTTGAGAAAAGATCCTCATATATCCTAATAATCATATTGAACTCACTGTACAGTTGAGCCTAGCCTTGAACTCCCAATCCTCTTGTCTCCATCTCGCAAGTGTGGGGATTACAGTTGTGCTCTACCACCTACACCCTCTATGTTCCCTCTCAGCCTTGTCTCTCTTTCCCTCTTCCCCCTTTCTTTCTCAGACAGGGCCTTGCTATGTATTCCAGGTAGCCTCTAATTCATAATCCTTCTACCTCTGCCTCCTATTTTCTTGCTGCCTTATGTCTAAATTTTTAGGTTAAAAACTGGGTATTCCAGACCCAAAAAGATGAACATGGGATGTACTCACTCATAATTGGTTTCTAGCCATAAATAAAGGTCAGTGAGTCTATAATTTGATATCCTAAAGAAGCTAAATAAGAAGGTGAACCCAAAGAAAAACATATAGCTATCCTCCTGGGTAGGGGAAGTAGACAAGATTGCCAGGCAAAAAATCGGGATCTTAAGGGTGGGTGGGAGGGGGGTAAGGGGAGATGGGGAGAGAAAAGTGAGAAGGGTAGGATGGGGAGAACTTGGGGCAATGGGATGATTGGGATAAAGAAAGGTTGGATAGGGGAGCAGGGAAGCACATATCTTAATTAAGGGAGCCATCTTAGGGTTGGGAAGAGACTTGGACATAGAGGGGCTTCCAGGTGCCCAACGCGAGGTCCCCAGTTAGTTCCTGGGGCAGCTGAAGATAGGGAACCTGAAATGATCCTATCCTATAGCCATACTGATGAATATTTTGCATATCACCATAGAACCTTCATCTGGCGATGGATGGAGATAAAGACAGGGACCCACACTGGAGCACTGGACTGAGCTCCCAAAGTCCCAATGAGGAACAGAAGGAGGGAGAACATGAGCAAGGAAGTCAGGACCAAGAGGGGTGCACCCACCCACGGAGACAGTGGGGCTGATCTACTGGGAGCTCACCAAGGCCAGCTGGACTGTGACTGAAAAAGCAGGGGATAAAACCGGACTCTCTGAATATGGCGGACAATGAGGGCTGCTGAGAAGCCAAGGACAATGGCACTGGGTTTTGATCCTACTACATGTTCTGGCTTTGTGGGAGCCTAGCCAGTTTGGATGTTCACCTTCCTAGACCAGGACGGAGGCGGGAGGACTTTGGACTTTCCACAGGGCAGGGAACTCTGACTGCTCTTCAGACTTGAGAGGGACGGGGAGAGGAGTAGGGGGAGGGGGAGAAGAGTGGGGGGACGGGGAGAGGAGTGGGGGGAGGGGGGGGAGGAGTGGGAGGTTGGGAGGAGGCGGAAATTTTTTTTTCTCAATAAAAAAACTGGGTATTGTTATAGAGTGTGTTTATAGATCCTGATACCCTCCTCTCTGGGGATTGTTTTTGTTTATTTAGGGATTTGACTAAACTATTTCAGTAAAATCTATTTCCCCATGGCATGTAGCATCTGGTAATCCTCAGAAGATACAGCCTTGGCAACATGCATTGTCACACTTAGAAGACAATGTTGCTACTGGGAAGAGGAGCTAGTTAACTATCTTTTTCAAAGATCTGGTAAACATCTTGCTCTGTTGGTATAAAGCTAATCCCCCACCGACTTCAACTGACCATTCTATTGTTTTGTAGAATCCCCAAACATAAACTGCTCCATTGTTTTAAACAATTAAACTCAGGCCCTTTCTGGTACAATCTTTAAGTCAAGTCTATGATACTTGTTCTAACACCTAGAAGCACTCCTTAGTGTTCTTTGGATTTGTTAAAGTTCTAGCTAATCTGTCTTTTAGTTTCTTGCTGTTACTGAACAATTAATTTCATCTTAATTATTTAGACATGTTTTTCAGAAGACTTACTTTGATGTGTGTGGGTTTTGCCAGCATGGGTGCACAATATGCATGTAGTGCCTGTGGAGGCCAGGAGAAGGCATCGAATCTCCTCGAATTGGAGTTACAGATGGGTGTGAGCCATCACGTAGGTGCTAAGAATTGAGTCAGATCCTCTGGAAGAAGGGAGCTCAGACTGGACAGCTCTCCTCTCGACAGCTCTCCTCTCGGGAGCAGACGTCTCAGAGAGATGCCATGCTCCGCTCTCCCAGGCAGACGCGATTGATGAAGCTCCGACCCAGGATGGACGTAGGCTAGAATCTTCCCGGTAAGACCGGTGCTCACAGATTATTAGAGATGGGTTGATCGGGATATCAGAATTAGCCAGTAAGGGCTAGAGCTAAAGGGCCAAGCAGTGTTTAAATGAATACAATTTATGTGTTGTTATTTTGGGGCATAAGCTAGCCAGGCTGCTGGGGTGCTGGGGACGCAGCCCCGCCGCTCCTATTACTACAGTTGGGGGTGTCTATGACTCTTTTGCCTGCTCTGGGACCTATTTCCTCCTACTGGGTTGCCTCATCAAGTCTTGATATGACTTATGCCTTATTTCATCTTGTTATGCTGAGTTCAGTTGATATCTATTAAACTTCTAATAAGTATAATGCTTTTTAGGTATATTTATGCTTTTGTATGGGTTCATTCTTATATGTTGAACAATATTACCTTTCATGGACATACTATAATTTGTTTACTCATTTACCTATTTACGGACATTTAGATTATTTGAGGTTTAGGAGATTATGAACAGAATAAAAATTTCCTATTAGCCTAAAGGAAAAACGTATTTCTGAAGTGTCTAACACAACATTTTATGCAGGAAAATATTATAGATGATGACTTAATATGAACCTACTTCATATGGTATTTTAAAAGGAAAACACTTTTGTGTAATAGATTCTAAATCAATATACCAACAATAAACACATAAATAAGTTTTATATACAGCCAAGTGGCCTATAACATCACTCAGTAATCATGCTTTCTTCTTAATATTTCAATTAAAATAAGTCCATAAGTGTCTGGGGATATAGACAGATCAGTTGGAAGAATCCTTGCTTAACTGCTGAGTTGTCTGTCTAGCCCTTCATCTTAATTACTAAGAAACAAAATCTGCATTGAAGTCTCCTAAACTTTCTTAAAAAAGTTAATTTTCTTAAGAAGAGCTAAAGGGCTTTGCTTTTACAGTTTGTTTCTATCCTCCATGAGCATTTCTGTGCCAGTGCTCCAGCATTGATGGTAAGCACAACAGTCCATTTCCTTTGCAATGGCACTTCTGTTTTCCATACTAAGCTCTGGACAGGAGTTGTAGCTTCTGATCATCCCAGCTTGCATATTCCAGTGTAGGATGGTTGACCCGATCAAGAGGTAGGTGACCTAGTATCTTACTCTGCTCTTCTAAGGTAGATCCTACTTCACTAGTGTCTGGGGGTATAGAGGACCCCAAAGCTGTACTTGCCTGAACTAGGGCTTCTGCAATACAGAGCTTGGGAGAATGATAAATGATGCCAGCCTATTTTCTGAAGGAGAATTAGGTACCTTAAATTAAACTAGAGCAACTGTAAATTGTGACCCCTTTGGGAAAACTCTAGCTCCAAAAATATTTACATTACAATTCATAATAGTAGCAGAATTACAGTTATGAAGTAGCAATAAAAATAATTTTATGGTTGGGTATTAAAGGGTCACAGCATTAGGCAAGTTGAAAACTACTGTTCTATAGCTTAGGAGAGAGGAGGCCTTGTGTTCTGGCTATAGCCATCTCAGTCAGTGCTTCTATTTTCCTGGGTTGGGATAGGAAAGGGATTGAGAACAGATACCACAGTATCTCACTGTTCTAAATAATTACATTTCCTAGAGTGTTTCTCAGCTTACTGTATGTCTTTTGGGAAATTGCCAATGGCTTCAAAGGGTTGGACTGTTCTTAAATTTTCAGCATTTTTGGCTGTTTTGCTGGAGTCTATGGAGCTCTTCATGCTATTGTTCTATAAGCTGCAATCAAATTCTATCTAAATCTATCTTCAAGAATTCAAAATACTGCAAATACTCTATTAAGATTTTCATATTCTTTTCACCAATTATATCTAACAGAATTCCTTTTTAATTTCAATTTAAATGCATTACTCAAAATTGGTATCATTTCTTGTCAAAGTATTTCACTAACCTTTTTACTAGTCCTCCATCTTAATTTTGTTCCTTATCCAATATACCTCATCCAATCTATCTTCTTGGTAGTAGAATGAACCACCTTAAAGTCCCCTGATTATCTACATTGAATGGTTCTCTATGGATTGCAGACTATAATTTCAAACTATTTAGCATGCTATACAAGTCCTCAAATAGCTAGTCCTAATCTTCTAGCTAGAAATCTACCCTTACCTTGATGACAAGTTTCTTTCAAACTTCTGTACTATATACTTATTATTAGTCCCTTCCCCTTCTGAAATGTAAATTTTGATTTATTAAAACTTTTTTCTCAAAGACTTAATCAAATAATATCTACTTTATTACAAGCACTTATCAAGGTCAGCTAATTGAATTGAAAATTAAGTTAGGAGTCAATAAACATTTGTTTAATGAATATATCTCATGAAGCTTTTTAATGTATCTCTCTTTCTATCTGGGAGAATCACATTTAGAACCATATTTAGTGCCTGCTTTGTTTTTTTTTTAAAGCTAGGCAGTGATAGAGAACACCTTTAATACCAGCACTCAGGAGGCAGAGGCAAGTGGATCTCTGAGTTTGAGGTCAGCTGGGTCTACAGAGAAAATTCCAGTACAGCCAGGGCTACACAGAGAAACTCTGTCTCAAAAAAAACCCACAAACCCCCAAAATACTGAAACAACAAAATAAACAGCTTCCAGAGTTGGCATTAAAATATCATCCAAAATGAAATTATAACTACCATTCTATTTAAAGAAATAGAACAAAATTATATTTATTCTGGAAGAAAGTTCTCATCTAAAAGAAGACTAGTTGGATAGTTAATTTATAGTTTCACAGAAAGGTTATTCAGACTCCAGGCCATGTGTTCTAGAAGAAAAATTAAAGAGTTTATCACCAAACACGTATTTGAAAAGAGAGAAGACTATTCTGAGGGGATTCACATTTTGGGTGCCTTTAGTACTGAGGAACTGGCCAAACAGGAAGACAAAGAAATTGAAATATCAAAAATACAGCGTTCAGGACTAAGCAAAAGGCTCAGCTGTAAAAGTACCCACTTTGCAATGATAAAGATTTGAGTCGTGATCTCCGGCAACCACGTAAAAGCTGGGAATGTCATGTACATCTGTAACTCTAGCTCTGGGGAAGGTGAGAGGGAGGCAGAGTCCCAGTGCTCACTGGTTATTCACTAGCTTTGGGTTCAGTGAGAGACCCTGTTTCAAAAGATAAAATGAAAAGCAATGGTAGAAGACACCTTGATATCAACTTCTGACCTCCACACACACAGGCAGACCCATGAACATGCACTTCTAGCCACATATGAACACACACACTACAGATACACACACAAGCATGGCACTAGCTCAATATGATGGAACACACCTATAATCTCATCTAATTGAGAGTCTGATAAAGGAAGATTATAAGTTTGAGTCTAGACTGGGCAACTTAGTGAAACTCTTTCTCTCAAAAAAATTTTAAAAGCTAGGATTTTAGCTTAGTGGCAGAGTGCTTCCCTAGCATGTGTGAGTCCCTCTGTCGAAACCCCAGCACCACAGTTAAAACACACACACACACACACACGGTACTGTGAATACATTAACTTATTCAGAATGCTGGAAATGTTCTTATTAAGTTTAGGAACTGGATATACTAGGATTACTTCCATTTTTAGTTTTACATCTATAAAGGAAACTATATTGTTTGTTTGTTTTGAGACAGGATCTCACTATATAGCTTTGACTGGCCTAGAAGTTGTTATATAGACCAGGGCTGGCCTGGAACTTACAACAATCCTTGGCATCTGCCTTCTAAGTGTTAGAATTATATACAAATGTGAGCTACTATATTACTTATAATTTTCTTCTACATATCAAACATTAAAATATAATTACAAATTATTTAAATAGAATATTGTTTAACAAAACATATATATTTAGATTCAAATCATACTCACAATGAGTATACAAAGTAGATGTTTCTATAGTTACACTAATCACAGGCATATTACTATAGTATGAAAATAAGAAAAAAACCTTCAACCTTCCCACCTATATCCTGGCATCTGAGAATTAATAAATAATAAAAATGCCTGTCTAAAGATCTAGTCAAGAATTTCATGTGCCTGTTTTTATAGAGTATTAATTAGATTCTCAATACAAATTTGTTTCTCAATAAAATAATATATTGCCTAGACCTCAAAAAACTTTTCTAGCTGTATAAAACTCACAAAATTCCATTATTTATAAGGTACTTATTTGAGTACTATAAAGAGATATTTTATTTTCTGGCCAATACCTACAGAGAAGCCAAAAGAACCAGAGCAGATGCTCCAAGCCCAGGGGCATGCAGTAATTCTCTCCTTGTACTGACCTGAGGCAGTCATTTGTGCTAGAAAGAGCAGGTACACAGAAGTAGCATCCAACTGCAGGTGTCCCCACTGGTCATCACCCACCACTGTGGCACAAGTTTTGGTGTTGTACTTGGCATGGAGGCTATCCTTAGTACTCTGACTATACTTGAAGGACTCTACTTTATCCACCTGAAGAGAAAAGAGCATAAGAAGGCTAGTTAGAAAGTCAGCCCATACGCTATGTATCTGTAGTGCTATGGCATATAGCACTGAACTCCACCTTCCCTAAGCATAACCCTGAGTGAATATTTAAGGTACATACTTATCTGTTTTCTGCTACACCATGTGCTACTTTTAATAAAAAACAACAAATGGTCAAAACAGCTATTTCCTGTCCATTGCCTTTCTTCTATGCTTTTCAAATGGTTGCTTTGTCATAATGTAGAGAAACTGGAAGTTCAAATGTATTAACACTTTAGTAAGATAACCCAGTGTTACACATTTGTTCCTGAAATTAAAGTAGAAATCTACAGATACATTGAAAGAGGATATTTTTATTTTATGTGTGTACATGGTAGTTTGTAAGTATGGATACCCCCAAAGGCCAGAAGAGGGCATGAAATTCCTTGGAGCTGAAGATACAGGCAGTTGTGAGCCGCCCAACATGGATGTTGGGAACCAAACTCAAACTCAGGTCCTCTGCAAGAGGTGCTCTTTGTTCAGGTCCTCTGCAAGAGCAATATGTGCTCTTAACCACTGAGCCATCTCTCTAAGTTTTGAAGATGCCATGAGAAGAGTTAATGAGAACCATACAGTCTCAGAGAAATAGTATTATAGAAAGCTGAAATAACAAATTAGAAGAAAACCATTGGGAGCTGGGGTATAAGTTTAGTGATAATGTGTTCTGAGGATGCATAAGGCCCTGGGTTCAATTTGTAACACACACACACACACACACACACACACACACGGGGCAGGGGGAGCCTTGTGAGTGAGCGAGCGGGGTGGGGTGGGGGAGTGCAAAAGTCCAGACAGGAAACCTTGGGTATAAGGCAATAGTTCTTGACCTAATTCCTGAAATGTAGTTGTTATTATTTATGCCTCTGATGTATAATAACCAGGACATCTTAAATATGTTCATTAAATTTGTGACTATACATACTCAATAAGATAGAAAGTATACATATCTGAAATACAAATGAAGCAGAAAAGACAGAGAGAAAAATGATATATGTGAACAAACTAGTAAAAAGATATATACAACAATTAATTGTATATATATTGAAAAGTCATTTGTAGATAAGTTTAGAAGTTGAGCATTGATTTCTTTCTACTTTCACAAAGTTAAGTCAGATTAAATATGTACATGTTTTAAGATCCTAGAATAAAGGTTTATTACTAAAAATGTTTGTGTGGAGAAAATGTCATAAACTCAAAACATAACTGTAAAAATATTTGCAATGTATGTGACAAATGATTAATATCCTTAATGTACAAGAACTCAGTAGGAGAAAAACAAATAAGCTGTCAACAAAAGGAGGTAAAGCTCTAGCAAGTAATTCACCAGTAAGGGACTGCAGATTTCCAATTCACATACAAAAGAATATTCAGCTACACTCAATGTCAGGGAATGCCAATTACTTCAAGTTCAAGATCCTTTGTCTCCAATTATAAAATTAAAAATACTTTGATTTTTTCTAATTACATTTTACATCATCAAATCTCATCTGGTGGAAACACTAAATTCAAATCAATATAGGGGTATGTATACGCTTTATTCCATTTACAGTAAAAGGAATGACTTCCTATCAAGAAATGTTTTTATATTGTAGAGTATTCTTCTCTTTCCACTGAATATATGAGAAATTATATGATACATGTACTTTGCTATCTTTTAAAAATCTAAAAATTTATTACTAAAACTGATCTGGACCTAAGAGTTTAAACAGTTCTAAACAATTATTTGTAAAAGGAGGAAAAATCCTGGAAGGGAATATTCCCATTGTAATAGGGTGGTGTAAGTCTCTGTGACATCCCCACCCGAGAGTTCCAAACTTTCTAAAATTAGAGTGTACTATTTGTGAATCTGAAAAAAGGCTATAGGCATTATTGGGAAGTTGTTAGGATACTGTCTTGTTATGCGTTGTTACCATTGCCATACCTGTCTGATCATGCAGTGCAGCAGTCCCCTCATTAACTTCACTACACTCTGCAGAAATAAATGGAAACAAGGCTGTTATAAACATACTGAGCTACAAGAACACTGACTCAGCAACTTCAGTCGGTACATGACCTTTGGAGAACAAGTAACCCTATCCTGGGTTCTAGTTACATGGCATTTACTTTATAGGTACACAGAACAGATTGCAGCTAAAAAATTAAATCAAAAGCCATAGGCTATGATTCCTTGGATTTAAATAATAATATAAGTTTGGAAGTTTTACCTAAAAATAAGGCAACCATCTAACAGGGGAGATGAAACAGCTAGAGAAAAGGAACACGTCAACTTACATGGTATATACCCTACAGTCTCCATAGCATCTTTGAATTTTTTTCATTTTATTTTTTAAAGATTTTTTTCATTTTATATGTATGGGTGTTTTGATTATTTGTATATATACAGATCATATGCATGCCTGGCATAAGTAGTGAATATGTTTTAGAACATATCAGCATAGAATAGCTTCTCCAATTCTCTACAAAGCTTTCTGTTTCACAATCTAGAAGACCTTAAATTGGCCTTGTGTCCCACAGATCATACTATGAGCAATTTTTAAAGTAATACTGTGAGGGTGCCCATAAAATGAGGACACCTTTAAGAGAAAGAGTGACAATTCACTACTGTTTGGTCTAGTACTGGTTTGGTTTTACTTGGAAAGGTGGGTTTTCAAGCACACAGAGTTTGAAGAGCCACAGAATACACAGAGAAAACTATTAAGACAAATGAAAACTGGAGTTTGGATCACAAGTAAGATCAGAGTCAAAGGAACAGATTTGCATAGAGGCAATAGAAAAGCCATGAAAAAAAAGATGAGAGAGGAAACAAGAGAATAAAATAATCAGAAGTGGAAGCAGTCAAAGAGAGACCTTGATTTACCTGAGTATTTATTTTTATAGCTATGATATTATATCTATATGCCCAAGAAAGGGGACATTTGTAAAAGCATACCTATGAATAATTCCAATATAGAATATAGAAGTTAGTTAAACCTATTTCTTCTCATCCACAATTCTCGTCTATTCTCAAATTTTATGAGAGAGAAGCTAAAATAACAGTTGAAACAAAGAGTATAAATGATTAACACGGTTTTGGGGAAAATCTATACAGTAATGTTAAGTTGGCAGTAGGTAGAAATTTAACCCATGGATATACTGGATTTAATCTATGTTCATTTACTAGTTACAGGTCAGTTATTATCTAGGCACATTATTAGATCTGTCTATATTAGAATCTCAAATTGTTTTAAAGTAAGGTCCAGTAAGGATATCTCTGAAAAGCTTTCCAAGCAATTCCAACGTATGGCCAGAGTTTAGATTACTCATCTGGGCCAGGGACAAATCCAACCCATCACTGTTTCTGTCTATACAGTTATTGGAATATTGCCATGCTAATTCTTTACATATTATCTTTGGTTCTTTTCTGTTATACCTACAGAGCAGAGTAATTAGAGACAAGTGAACTATATGCCAAACATATTGACCATCTGACCCTTTACAAAGATGGGTGGGTTTCTAAATTAATGCTGACATAAGTTTTTAAAACATCAGACCTAATAATCAAATTTATTTTGATCCTTTAAACAAATTCATATAAAATTTAGTAATTCCCACAAAAGCTTTTCTATACTGAAACATTATAAAGTTACTAATAAGGTGATACAAAAATATTTTCAGGGGCAGAGCGGCGGCGCGGCCGGACGCACAGAGGCAGAGCGGCGGCGGCCAGACGCGGCGGAGCAACACCGCATACAGGAAGAGGCTTTCGGGGACCAGCGCAGCGGCAGACCCAAGCGGCGGGGACAGGCGTGCAATAAGGAGAGCAGATCGCCCTACTACAATTGAATCAAAGAGGTAGGCCTTTGGTTGGCCAGGTCACTGGCACAAGGGGAGCCTGGTCCTGTCCTGAAGATCCTTCGGAGGGGTGAGAGGGTTCTTGGCCTGCAGCAGGAACCACGAAAGAGAGTGAGGGCATTTTGTAAGCGGAGCCCTTGGCCAGCAGGGAAACCTGATCCGGTTTTTAAAGGACCCATTGGATAGGATCAATAGGAGGAGATGGGCAGGCGCCAAGGCAAGAATTCACCCAATAATCCGAAAAACAACATGAAAACATCAGAACCCAATGATCTTACAACAGAAGTATTTGAACAACCTAACACAGAAGAAGTGGAAAAAATTGACTTTATGAAGATAATAGAGTCCCTTAAACAACATGTAAAAAATGCCCTTATAGAAATGGATGAGAAGTATAACAAAAAGTTTGAAGAAATGAGTAAATACGTACATGATACCCTGGGAAACCAAGAAAAAACCATCAAACAGGTAATGGAAACAGTTCAAGAATTGAAAACTGAAATGAAGGCAAAGAAGAAAATACAAACTGAGGACCAGCTGGATATGGAAAATCTAGGCCAACGAGCAGAGTCTACAGAAACAAGCATAATCAATAGAATACAAGAGCTAGAAGAAAGACTCTCAGATGCTGAGGACACCATAGAGAAAATAAACGAACAGATCAAAGAAAACAGCAAAGCCAACAAATTCTCAACACAAAACATTCAGGAACTATGGGACACAATAAAAAAACCAAACCTAAGAATAATAGGAATAGAAGAAGGAGAAGAGTCACAGCTCAAAGGCCCAGAAAATATTTTCAACAAAATTATGGAAGAAAACTTTCCCAACTTAAAGAAAGATATTCATTTAAATATTCAAGAAGCATACAGAACACCAAACAGACTGGATCAAAGAAAAACATCTCCTCGCCATATAATAATCAAAACACAAAATATACAGGTTAAAGAAAGAATATTAAGAGCTGCAAAAGAAAAAGGGCAAGTAACTTATAAAGGTAAACCGATCAGACTTACACCTGACTTCTCGATGGAAACTATGAAAGCCAGAAGGTCCTGGATAGAGGTTCTGCAGAAGCTAAGAGACCATGGATGCAAACCCAAACTACTATACCCAGCCAAGCTATCGTTCATTATCAATGGAGAAAACAAGACATTCCAGGATAAGAACAAATTTAAACAATACGTAGCCACAAATCCAGCCCTACAGAAAGTAATAGAAGGAAAATCGCAACCCAAGGAATCCAACACTGCCAACACTGCCTACAATAACCCAGGCATCTAATGACCCTTCACGAGCACATCTCAAAGAAGGGAGACACACAATCTCTACTACCAAAAGCAAAAGGAATAACCGGAGTAAACAACCACTGGTCATTAATATCACTTAATATTAATGGGCTCAATTCACCTATAAAAAGGCACAGGCTAAAAGATTGGATACGAAAACAGGATCCAACATTCTGCTGTTTGCAAGAAACACATCTCAACCACAAAGACAGGCACCTACTCAGAGTAAAGGGTTGGGAAAAGGTGTTTCAAGCAAATGGTCCTAAGAAAAAAGCAGGTGTGGCCATACTAATTTCTAACAAAACTGACTTCAAACTAAAATCAATCAGAAGAGACCGAGACGGTCACTTTATACTCATAACAGGAACAATTCATCAGGAGGACGTCTCAATCCTGAATATATACACCCCCAATATAAAAGCACCTACTTATGTAAAAGAAATATTACTAGAACTCAAGGCAGACATCAGACCACACACACTAGTAGTAGGAGACTTCAACACACCTCTCTCTCCAAGGGACAGGTCAATCAGACAGAAACCTAATAGAGAATTAAGAGAATTATTGGAGGTAATGAAGCAAATGGACTTAACAGACATCTATAGAACATTCCACCCAAATAGGAAAGAATATACCTTCTTCTCTGCAGCTCATGGAACCTTCTCAAAAATTGACCACATACTCGGAAACAAAGGAAACCTCCACAGATACAAAAAAATATCAGTGTCCACCTGTGTCTTATCAGATCATCACGGATTAAAGTTAGAAGGCAACAACCACGCTGCCCCCAAAAAACCGACAAACTCATGGAAACTGAACAGTCAACTACTGAACCACACCTGGGTCAAGGAAGAAATCAAGAAAGAAATTAAAGTCTTCCTTGAATTTAATGAAAATAAAGAGACAACATACTCAAACCTATGGGACACAATGAAAGCAGTGCTAAGAGGAAAGTTCATAGCACTAAGTGCCCACTTAAAGAAAACGGAGAATGCATACATTGGGGACTTAAAAACACACCTGAAAGCTCTAGGAAAAAAGAAGCAGACGCGCCCAGGAGAAGTAGAAGACTGGAAATAATAAAACTGAGGGCTGAAATCAACAAAATAGAAACACGGAAAACAGTCCAAAGAATCAATGAAACAAAAAGCTGGTTCTTGGAGAAAATCAACAAGATCAACAAACCCCTATCCAAACTAATTAAACGACAGAGAGAGAACACGCAAATAAATAAGATCAGAAATGAAAAGGGGGACATAACCACAGACACAGAGGAAATTCAGAGAATCATTAGATCTTACTACAAAAGCCTGTATGCCACAAAACTGGAAAATACAAAAGAAATGGACATTTTTTTAAATAAGTATCATATACCAAAGCTAAACCAAGACCAGGTGAATGATCTAAATAGACCGGTCTCTCGCGAAGAATTAGAAATGGTTATCAAAAATCTCCCTTCGAAAAAAAGCCCAGGACCAGATGGTTTCAATGCAGAATTCTACCAGAACTTCCAAGAAGAACTAATACCTATACTCCTTAATGTATTTCACAATATAGAATCAGAAGAGTCATTGCCAAATTCCTTTTATGAAGCTACAGTTACCCTGATACCAAAACCACAAAAAGACCCAACCAAGAAAGAGAATTACAGACCGATCTCACTCATGAACATCGACGCAAAAATTTTCAATAAAATACTGGCAAACCGAATCCAAGAACACATAAGAAAAATTATCCATTATGATCAAGTAGGCTTCATCCCAGAGATGCAGGGCTGGTTCAACATACGCAAATCTATCAATGTAATCCACCATATAAATAAACTGAAAGAAAAAAACCACATGATCATTTCACTAGATGCTGAAAAAGCATTCGACAAAATTCAACACCCCTTTATGATAAAGGTCTTGGAGAGAATAGGGATACAAGGGTCCTACCTAAATATAATAAAAGCTATTTACAACAAGCCAACAGCTAACATTAAATTAAACGGAGAAAAACTCAAAGCCATCCCACTAAAATCAGGAACACAACAAGGATGTCCACTCTCTCCATACCTCTTCAATATAGTGCTTGAAATTCTAGCAATAGCAATAAGACAACATAAGGAGATCAAGGGGATTCGTATTGGAAAGGAAGAAGTTAAGCTTTCGTTATTTGCAGATGATATGATAGTGTACATAAGCGACCCCAAAAATTCTACCAAAGAACTCCTACAGCTGATAAACAGCTTTAGTAATGTGGCAGGATACAAAATCAACTCCAAAAAATCAGTTGCCTTCCTATACACTAAGGATAAGGAAGCAGAGAGGGAAATCAGAGAAGCATCACCTTTCACGATAGCCACAAATAGCATAAAATACATTGGGGTAACCCTGACCAAGGAAGTGAAAGATCTACTTGACAAGAACTATAAGTCTTTGAAGAAAGAAATTGAAGAAGACACTAGAAAATGGAAAGACCTCCCTTGCTCTTGGATTGGGAGGATCAACATAGTAAAAATGGCATTTCTACCAAAAGCAATCTATAGATTCAATGCAATCCCCATCAAAATCCCATCAAAATTCTTCACAGATCTGGAGAAGACAATAATCAACTTTATATGGAAAAACAAAAAACCCAGGATAGCCAAAACAATCTTATACAATAAAGGATTGTCTGGAGGCATTACCATCCCTTGAAAGACCCCCACTCATTAAGCAGCAGTAACGCCATTTTGCAAGGCTTAAACTTTGGAGCAACGCAAGTAATTAGAGCAGGGAAGTTCGACTTGAGAACAAGGGCGGAGAAGCCAGGCGAGATATCTGCGGTCAGCCGGTCAGCCATCTGGCCCCAAGCGATAAGGAACCCGCAGCTGGCCTGCTCTAATGAGAACATCCCGTTTGCTTAGGGAAACAGGATGCCTATAGTCAGCACATGTGCCCAACTTAGAATATCAGTAATTCACAGAAGAGACAACTCCCCCTATGAAAGATCCCAGCTTATCTGCTGTAACGTCATTTCACAAAGCTTTTGACGAACGACTGTAAGTGCAGAGTAAGGTCAGGGTCCCTGGCTGCAAAACAGGATCTTTATATCCATAGATTAGGACAGGACATCAATTAACAGGATATCTGTTCCCATACATCTGTGCTGGGAGAGGAAAAACCACCTGTGCCCCTTGCCCCATTCCAACTGACCACTAACGATGCATTTGCTTCTGTAATCTGCTTCTGCTGCCCTCTTTCCTATAAAAAGACCTTCCCCCAGTCTGCAGGCGCGCTTGTCTCCCGAAAGACTAAGCCGCCCCAGGTACCTGTGTACTCAATAAAAGCCTCTTGCTGTTTGCATCCGGAGAGTGGTCTCGCTGTTCCTTGGGAGGGTCTCCCCAGTCTGAAAGACTGCCTACCACGGGGGTCTTTCACCCTGACTTCAAACTCTATTACAGAGCTACAGTATTGAAAACAGCTTGGTATTGGCATAAAAACAGAGAAGTCGACCAATGGAATCGAATAGAAGACCCTGACATTAACCCACAAACCTATGAACACCTGATCTTCGATAAAGGAGCTAAAAGTATACAATGGAAAAAAGAGAGCATCTTCAACAAATGGTGCTGGCAACACTGGATGTCAATCTGTAGAAGAATGAAAATAGATCCATATCTATCACCATGCACAAAACTCAAATCCAAATGGATTAAAGACCTCAATATCAGTCCGAACACACTGAACCTGATAGAAGAGAAAGTGGGAAGTACTCTACAGCACATGGGCACAGGAGACCACTTCCTATGTATAACCCCAGCAGCACAGACACTAAGGGCGTCATTGAATAAATGGGACTTCCTGAGGCTGAGAAGCTTCTGTAAAGCAAAGGACACTGTCACTAAGACAAAAAGACAACCCACTGACTGGGAGAAGATCTTCACCAACCCTGCAACTGACAAAGGTTTGATCTCCAAAATATATAAAGAACTCAAGAAACTAGACCGTAAAAGGCTAATCAACCCAATTATAAAATGGGGCACTGAGCTGAACAGAGAATTCTCAACAGAAGAACTTCAAATGGCCAAAAGACACTTAAGGTCATGCTCAACTTCCTTAGCGATCAGGGAAATGCAAATCAAGACAACTTTAAGATACCACCTTACACCTGTAAGAATGGCTAAAATAAAAAACACCAATGATAGCCTTTGCTGGAGAGGTTGTGGAGAAAGGGGTACACTCACCCATTGCTGGTGGGAATGCAAACTTGTGCAACCACTCTGGAAAGCAGTGTTTCGGTTTCTCAGGAAATTCGGGATCAACCTACCCCTGGATCCAGCAATACCACTCTTGGGAATATACCCAAGAGAGGCCCTATCATACAACAAAAGTATATGCTCAACTATGTTCATAGCAGCATTGTTTGTAATAGCCAGAACCTGGAAACAACCTAGATGCCCTTCAACGGAAGAATGGATGAAGAAAGTATGGAATATATACATATTAGAGTATTACTCAGCAGTAAAAAACAAGGACTTCTTGAATTTTGCATACAAATGGATGGAAATAGAAAACACTATCCTGAGTGAGGTAAGCCAGACCCAAAAAGAGGAACATGGGATGTACTCACTCATATTTGGTTTCTAGCCATAAATAAAGGACATTGAGCTTATAATTCATGTTCCTAGAGAAGCTAAATAAGGTGAATCCAAAGACAAACACATAGGCATCCTCAGGAATATTAACCTTCATCAGGCGATGAAAGGAGACAGAGACAGAGACCCACACGGGAGCACCGGACAGAAATCTCAAGGTCCAAATCAGGAGCAGAAGGAGACGGAGCACGAGCAAGGAACTCAGGACCACGAGGGGTGCACCCACACACTAAGACAATGGGGATGTTCTATTGGGATCTCACCAAGGCCAGCTGGCCTAGGTCTGAAAAAGCATGGGATAAATCCGGACTAGCTGAACATAGCAGACAATGAGGAATACTGAGAATTCAAGAACAATTGCAGTGGGTTTTTGACCCTACTGCACGTACTGGCTTTGTGGGAGCCTAGGCAGTTTGAATGCACACCTTACGAGACCTGGATAGAGGTGGGCAGTCCTTGGGCTTCCCACAGGTCAGGGAACCCTGATTGCTCTTCGAGCAGATGAGGGAGGGGGACTTGATCGGGGGAGGGGGAGGGAAATGGGAAGCGGTTGTGGGGACGAGGCAGAAATCCTTAATAAATAAATAAATTAAAAAAAATTAAAAAAAAAACCAAAAGAGAAAAAAAAATATTTTCAGCTATGTGAAAGGTCATATAACAGAACACTAAAATTTTAGAACTGGCAATTCAGCTTTTTCCTCATTTTTCCACTTGGGTCAAATAAGGCAAGAAACCAAATCAGCATTATGATGCGACAACAGATTTATTCTAATGATCTTGAAATGTTTTGATCAAATTATATCAGACATGTATTTACAGTTCTGCTGATATTAATCTATAGCAATCAATACAAGGAACAAGCTACCAAAGTACTAAAGTATCACAATACCAAAACATTCAGTAGGATACAGGACTAGGGGTTTTAAAAAAACCATTCCTACATTTTCCAAATTTCTATTATGGCATTATTTCTACAAAAGGTCTATACTTCCTAGGCTAGAGCAAAAACTCCATTAAGTTTTGTGTCTATTGCTATTATGCTATTGCTATTGACAATACAGTGAGACTTGTCCCACTGCCGGCAACTACAGCTTCTGATTATATTGCTACTCTTAAAAATACCAAATCCCAATATCCTGACTTACAGATCACAAATGGAGTTCAAGGGAAACGACAGGAGAAAATGGCTGGTCTGGTAAGGCTCTTCTCTAATGGCAACAGATCCACGTATACTTACAACTAATAGCAGAGTACTTTATCATTACAGAGTTTATGGAATCCAAACAATGCCAACTTATTGCTCTTTTAGACACTTGAGAGGATGTAGTTCCGTTTGTGCTCAGAAGTTCCTTAAAGGATGCTAATTTACTGAGGGGAAGATGCCTTAAAAGTTGGCTTAAAATCATCTCCTAATGCTGACTTTAATTTGTCCCGAGGCAGGCAACAAGCTCTCTAAAATAGTGGTCATAACTTTAAAAATCAACACAGTCGTACTTCTGTCTGATGAGGAAGGCCTGTTGATTTGTGCCAGTTATGTGTATATAAATACTACAATTATTTTTCAAAAATAAGTAAAATAGTACTTATCTGCTCCCAAATAGTCTTCTCAATGAAAACAAAATGGTGGAACCTGAAAATACACTTAGAGGATTATTAACTTTAGGACTATCAGGGTAGGATTTTGAAAAGTAGTGAATATACTGCACCCCTTTCCTTGAATCTGCAAGTTTCAAGTTTCCACTGCAATAACCAAATCAAACTGCTTCAGTCAGAGTACATGGAAACTTTATAGAATGCAATTTCAGCAGGATGGCCTACGAGCGACATTTCCTTTAGCTCCCACTCACCCTACCACAACCACACACAGCTCCACATCTCTACGTGATTCTGTTTGGATTACCTGCTCCAGCTCATAGGCCTTCGCCTTGTCCTCATCACGGTCTGCGTTTTTCCGATATGCCAGGCCCAAACCCCACACAGCCAGGATGCTGTACACATTATCTCGGACCCAGGCATCTTTCTGATCATAACTGGCTGGAAGCAGTCCTGTCACTGGATTCTGCAAGATCAACCAAGAGAGGACAGGCAGCTAACTTCAGAGTGTAAAAGGAAACATAATCTATGGAATAGTTTATTTGGAAATCTTAGTCTTTCTCCTACTTCCCCATTCTTGAGTTTTAGAACTTTTTTTTTTTTTTTTACCAATTTCAGGCAGACATTATCCCCCAGCTTTACTGAGTTATAACTGACAATAAATTTATACAGATTTACAGTATGCAACAGGTTAATTTGACACATACACGAATCTATGGTGAAATGATTAGCGCAATCATGCTAATGTAGCCATCACCTCACTTTGATGTGGTGGGATTTACTCTTTCAGCAAATTTCAGGTATACAATTCAAGTACTATGGAATAGTCAGTGTGCTACTGATGTTAATCAGTGTTGCAGAACATACTTGTTTTGTAACAGAAAGCTTGTTCTCTTTCCGTATGCTATCTTAAGACTGAGAAAGAGCCGGTTGGAGGCTTACAAATCCAAATGTGGGTATTATTAAAATAAAGGCACTATTAAAGTTATTATCAAATGTATTACTAAGAATTGCTAAAAGTATTTTTTAAAAATGTAATTTTTCAGTTAAATTCAACTACGAACGAAGTAAAGGAGTAAAAAATATATTTAGAAATACATACAGTCAGGTGTGATGCCTTATGCCTGTAATTTCTTGGCTGGAGAGACTGAGCAGGAGACTGATGCTACTTCAAGGCCAGCCTTGGCTACACACTGAGTTTCTGTCCATCATGGGCTACAGAGTAAGACTTGGTTTCAAAAACAAACCAAACAACTCCAAACAGTATACATTAGCCAGGTGCAGTGGTGTATACCTGTAATTCCAGCACTGAGGGGCTGAAGCAGGAGGATGGAGAGTTTGAGGTCAGCCTGGGTTACAGGGTGAAATCCTGTCTCCAGCAAACAAACAAAACAAAAACAACTTAGGAAACAAACAACAACAACAACAAAAAACCCACTGGTTTATGATCTGTTATCCAAACTCAGGAGACTGTGGCTTCCAAGTTCAAGGCCAGCCTAAGCCACGGAGCAAAACTATTTAAACAGAAGTATACACAATGTGCCTTGACCTTGGCAATAGTCTAAGGTCTCTTAGGATGGCTAAATGTTCTCCTACATCTTTGCGGGGAGTAGAAGTAGATGGCTGAAACCCGGGGTGAGGGTGTCAGTAAACAAGTGCTCCTGGTACCCACCTGTAGCCGGGAGTGGGGGGAAGTGGGTAGTTACTGGAATTACTGCAAAGGGGTGGGAGTTGTGGTTATTCATGCCACACTTTGGTTCTTCCTCAGGTTCAACGTGTAACTTTCCTGCAGGATCTTTTAGGGCCTCCCCACAGACAAACGCTTTCGAGGGTTCACCCAGGGTCAGTGTCCAACTGCTCACACTTCACCCTTGCTTACTCTTACCTGATGGCACAGGATGGTCTGATGCACCAGCCGAGCATAGCCGTCCAGGCGGACCCCTGAGTTACTCCGACTCCTCATCGCACCAAGTCCCTAATCCCCCAGTCCACACTCAGGGGAAGCTTGGACACCAGGCCTGCGGAAACCTTCGGAGTGCACGCTCACTCGCTTGGCCGATGGTTCCCGCGCGGCGCCCCGCTCCAGCGGTCTCGGAGTCCACTTTAGGTGGCGGCTCAGCTTCCCGTGGTCTAGGCTTCAACTCGCAAAGTCCCCGGTCTCCACTCAGTCTCCCATGACCCCCGGGAGCCGAACCGGCATCCTCCGTTGGACTGAGGGAGACCTCAGCAGCTCGGAGCCTCCAGGCTGGCAACTGCGGCGGGTCAGCGGCCGCGGCCCCGCCTCCCCTGGCGAGCACGCGAGGGCGGGGCGTGGGTCCTGCAGCTGCGCGCTGCGCCCATGGGCTGGCCGCTGGGGCGCGTGGCGGGGGGGGGGGGGGGGGGGGGGCGGCCCTCCGCCCAGAATGTGTCGCCGTAGGCAATGTGCTCTCCTGAGGTTATTTTTGAAACATTCCAAGTGACTATTTTAATTTTGCACGCCTGTTGTGTGCACAGGCTGTTGCTCTCACTTCTGAGGGACTAGTTTTAGGAACCCACGGGAACTTGGAAAGTGAAAGGAGAGACTACGCGCATTTGCGCTCAAGGGCTGAGCGGTTCGATTTCCGGATCTTTGACAAAAAAAGTCGGATTAAACTCTGAAACCAAACAAAAGAGAGCTCCCTGGGGTTATTGGCTCCTTAGAGACGCGCGCGAGTCCAGGGCGTGGGAAGGAAGAAGCAGTTAGAGATCTTTGAGGAAGTAAGTGTTGCAGGCAGGGAACAGGGCAAAGAGCGAGCAGCAACCGAGGGTGGCCTTGGTGGGACAGCTGGCAGTGGAGTACCTGCTTTGGCAGGCTTCCCCCTAGTGTTGCCACCACAACAAAGATTCAGCTGAAAATAAAGCGGGAGAGGGGTTAGGGAAGAAGGCTGCAGAGGACACTGTGACAGGCTTGGGGAATCTGCCTCCTGCAAGAAGTCCCCAGGGCGTTTGCTTCCTTGCTCTACAGTCCCCACCCCCCATCTTTTTTTCTCTACTGTTCCAAACCCTGCACCCCAGTCAAGGCTCAGCTGGAGTACCACCTGCTTTCTGAATTGCGGGGTAAGCGTGAGACTGTCGCTTGACCTTTCGAGTTCTAAATCTAAGCCTTCCCTGGCCACCTCCCTCGGGCCACAGTGATTTTGCATTTTCATTCATCTTTTTTTTCTTCTTAAGTTTCTTCTCTCCTTACAAGCTGCTTCTGAACCACCGCCACCGCCGCCATGGCCTCGTCCTCACTAAGTATAACAAATAGGCACCTTGGAAGGTGACTAATGAATCTTTGCTAATGAAGATTGAAGGCTGAGTGCTCAAGAACGCTGAGCTGGGATTTTCTGGTTAAACAGCCAGTCAGTGATGCAGTTCAATACAGTGACACGGACTTCTCGGGCAGGCAGGCAAATAGTTTCCATTGCAGTCACTACCTACACAAATGCAGTGACTGGCAAATAAGCCACTTCAAGGCCTTAGTGCACAGGAAAGGGGAGTTCAATTTGGAGAGTATCCCCCTGCTCGGGTCCCTAACTCCCTGATAGCTTGCTTTCACTCAGACTATAGCCTCAGCCACCTTTTTCTCTACCCTTGTCCCCTTCAAGTGTCTGTCCTCTGGACTTTTTTCATCTCAATATTATCTAAACACATTTTCAAAGCATTAAAATAATATAGGATCACCGAAGAAAACTTGCAAAATACAAAAAAGTGAAATCAAAATTTGAAACCATCCGTCATGCCCCACACCACCACCTGTTGACACATACATTTGCTACTGTTTATATTCCTTCTGCATAGATCTCCCTTCACCTCCTAGTATCATAAGTGGATCAGGAATGGCAGACGTGAGCTATCACTAAGAACGGTAGCTAGCTGGCTAGCAATAGACCCTGTTGGCTGGCATTGCCTGGGTGCTTTCATCGTCAGTCCAATTTAGATTTTCAGTCTTGTAGTCTTAGAAACCTGATCTGCTCAGTGTCCCAGAACTGGTAAGACACAGGAGGCTGACTCATGCTGATTACCTCACAAGAGCTTGGTGCATGAAGACCTGGACGCTGCTTGATAATGAGAACTGTACCATAGCTTACATTAACTGACCACCACATTTTCTCCCTTTAGTAAGTTGCAATCATTATTATATAACTTAAATAATGGTCCTATTAGGTAGATGCACTCCTGATTAGCATACATTAGTTATACAAAATAGTGAGTTTCTTTAAAATGCATTCATAATTAAACCTTAGAGGTGGAGAAGTGACGGCACATGAAAATTAAGTCCTAGTTGGCAGTGTGATCTATGTTGGTTTCATGTATCTTCCAGGGCTCACTGGTACATTTTTAAATGTCTATCAAAATTATAAATCAAATTAGAGTTGTCAGTCTGAAATCACTGTTTCTTTTAAAAATTATTGTCACATAAAAGTTGTACATACTTATGGAGTACCATGTGATGTTTTGATGCATACACATGTTGTAGAATATTTAAATTAGTATGTAAGTAAACTTTTTATAAATAGAGTTGAACTATTACAAATAAGGTTAAATATCTTCTACCAGAGTCTTCTTCATCCCCTTCCTGAAGGCAGCTGCCATGATTGGATTGACTTGTGTCCTTCCAAATTGGTTCTGAAGGATTTATACGTATATTTGGAAATATGCATATGAAAAAAATGTACTATCACTTTATCTGTGTCTTAAAAATTGTCATTTATTTATTTTTTGTATGTACTATGTGATGTATGTGTATATCCATCTGTGGGGGGGGGGAGTGTGTGTTAACCAGCAGAGGTTGAAGTTAGGTGTCCTTTTTATCACTTGCCACTTTGTCATTTGAAAGGAGCCTTCTCACTAAAGCTTGAGCTCACTATTTTAGCTGTCCAGAAGTATTCACCTGTCTCCTTCCCCCAAGTGCTAGGGCTACAATTGAGCACAACCACTTCAAGCTTGTTCATGGGCGAAGGGCATCTGAATCTCTGAGCCATCTCCCCAGACTTCCTTTTTTCTTTTTTTTTTCTTTTCTTCTTTTGAGAAAGGCCTCACTTTATAGCCTTGGATTGCCTATACTCACTATTTAGACTAGGCTGGTCTGGAACTCACCAAGTATAACAGGGTAGATTCGAACTTGCACAGAGATTCTCCTTTCTCAGCCAGTACTTGACCTCTCAGCTAGAGCAAATAAGACAATTGGGGGATATCAAAAGGATTCAAATTGGAATGGAAGAAGTCAAAGTATCTTAATTTGCAAATGATATGATGATATACGTAAGTAACCCTAAAAATTCCACCAGGGAATTCCTGCATCTGATAAACACCTTCAGCAAATTATTTAGATATAAAATTAACTCACATAACTCACCTTCCTAAATACAAATGAAAAATGGACTGAGAAAGAAATCAGGGAAACAACACACTTCACAATAGCCTCAATAATATAAAATATATTGGAGTTACTCTACCCCAGCGAGTGAAAGACTTCTATGATAAAAACTTTGAGACATTGAAGAAGATATCAGAATATGGAAAGATCTCACATGCTCATTGATGGATAGGATTAACATAGCAAAAATGACTACCATACCAAAAGTGATCTACAGATTCAATGCAATCTTCATCAATATTCAAACACAATCCTTCACAAATCTTGAAAGGAAAATCTTCAACTTCGTATGTAACACACACACACACACACACACACACACACACACACACACACACACACAGCTTCCAGTTTAGTGTTTTTATGGGATTTCTGAGTGTGCAAATGAATTGGTCTCTGTTTCTTGTGCCTTCTCATGTGCTCTTCTGCTAGGTTTTTTGTTGTTGTTGTTGTTGTTCTGCTATGTGTTATTTTTATGCTGATGTGTTAGTTTTTATCTTATTATATTTTATTTTACCATTATGACTCAGAAGACTGATGTTTTTAAATAAGAAACAGAAAGGGAGTAGATCTGTATGGAATGGAAGAAGAGGAAGAACTAGCGTGAGTAGGGGGAAGGGAAACAGTAGCCAGGATATATTGTGAGAAAAAAGTCTATTTTCAATAAAAGGAAAAAACATAAAAATAAATGATAAATCATATCAATATAAAAGTATTGACTTAAAAATAAATGTATGTATCATTTATTATCAATAACATAAAAGAAATCAGTAAAAAAGGAAAATAAAGGTGATTGGTGTTGCTGGTGAGATAGTTCCGCAAAAGGCATGTATTGTTCTTGCAACATATCTAGGCTTGATTCCCAGCACCCACATGGTGGTTTATAGCCATCTGTAATGCTATATTCAGGGAATCATATACCTTCTTCTGATCTCCTTGGGCACCAGGCATATACATGGTACACATACATAAATTCAGACTAAATACTCAAACACGTAAAACAAATCTAAATTGCAGAAATAGAAAAGGGTGGGTAATAATACCATGAAAGCTAAAAGAGGATTCCTGGGGTGGAAAGGTCCAAGAGAGTGCAGGAGTGGCTCAGCAACAGAAACCAAATTATGTATGAAAATGCTATAATGAAATGGGTTACTTTGTATACTAATTAAAAAGTAAACATTTTTCGTTGTACTAATTTTAAAAAGATCTAATATAAGTTCAATTGGCTAATGTAATAGTTTTTATGACTTTTTTCTTTGTATGTTGGAGTAGGTGTGCACATGTGAATGAAGACCAGAGGTCAACATCAGACATCTTTCAGGTGCTACACATCTTGATTATTTATTTATTTGTTTGTTTGTTTGTTTATTTAAGATTTCTGCCTCCTCCTCGCCACCGCCTCCCATTTCACCACCCCCTCCCCCAATCAAGTCCCCCTCCCTCATCAGCCCAAAGAGCAGTCAGGGTTCCTTGCCCTGTGGGAAGTCCAAGGACCTCCCACCTCCTTCCAGGTCTAGTAAGGTGAGCATCAAAACAGCCTAGGCTCCCACAAAGCCAGTATGTGCAGTAGGATCAAAACCCAGTGCCATTGTTCTGGACTTCTCAGCAGTCCTCATTGTCCGCTATGTTCAGTGAGTCCGGTTTTATCCCATGGCTTTTTCAGACCCAGGCCAGCTGGCCTTGGTGAGTTCCCAAGTAGAACATCCCCATTGTCTCATTGTGTGGGTGCACCCCTCGCTGTCCTGAGTTCCTTGCTCGCACATCTTGATTTTTGAGACAAGACTGGAGCTCTCTGATTAGCCTAGGTTGGCTGATCAGTGAGCCCTAGGTGATCCATCTGTCTCCATCACTCCAAAGCTGAGATTACAGAGCATATCACCCATGTCTGGATTTTGTGTTGATTCT